ATGCTTGTATAACGGAATACCCGTGTCATGACAGGGATGTGCGCACCTGCGTCGTTACCTAACCACATGCTTGTATAACGGAATACCCGTGTCATGACAGGGATGTGCGCACCTGCATTGTTACGTAACCACATGCTTGTATAACGGAATACCCGTGTCATGACAGGATGTGCGCACCTGCGTCGTTACGTAACCACATGCTTGTATAACGGAATACCCGTGTCATGACAGGGATGTGTGCACCTGCGTCGTTACCTAACCACATGCTTGTATAACGGAATACCCGTGTCATGACAGGATGTGCGCACCTGCGTCATGGCGTACCTGTACATCTAAAAAGCTGCTGGCTGAATATCGAATACGTAACTAGATTTCTAGACCCTTACGCGGCGGAATTTCGTAGCAGTTGCGGCATTTGTATTGTTTGCTCTCGGCGTCTGTGCACATGTTAATCCAATGAGTGATTTATTGATAAGCAATTGGAAGCTTTATTGATAAGCTAGTGATTGTTCGATCGACAAGCTTTTATGTTATGTATATCATTGTCATCATGTATTGGTTACAGTATTTTTGTAATGAGTTTAAGGTAGTAAAAAGACGAGCGAAGGTTTTAGATTTGGTCCGAGTGGATATTGGCCATGCAGATTTAACCCTCGTCAGATGAAAATAGATAAAATTGGGCCAGGTAAGATGAGTGTCCACATTGTCCACACAAACTGAAAACTCTCAAGAATGACGTGCAAGCTATGCATGTAATGTTCAATCTTGTAAGGTTACAGTAAACATTCGGCACACAAAATTTAACTGTGATGGACAGGAGTGTACGCTGACTATACAAAATTCGGCTTTGTAAGGTGGAAGTGGGCATTGGTCGCGTAGACATAACTTTGTTAAGATGAGACACTCTCTGCACCTATCTCTATAACCTCTATAACTATCTGTATCTCTCTGTCTCCCTTCCTTGCAGACTGCAATCAACGAGAACTACCAGACGATGTCGGACACGACATTCAAGGCGCTCCGGCGACAGCTGCCCGTCACTCGCACCAAGATCGACTGGAACAAGATCATAGGCTACAGAATCGGCGCCGAGCTAAAGAACATGTAGGGGGCGCCGGCATCGGCGACGCTCGCTCCGCGTCCCAGTTTGATTTTTCATTTTTTCAGGTTTTTTCGAGAGTTGGAGGGGGGGTGCGAGGATCGTATATCGTGCAATCACGCGCGCGCGCGCGGGGCCGATAGGCTTGCGATTTATCTGCCTGCGGCCGACGTTACAAGCCTACTGCGTGGTATTTCTTTGTACATCAGTGGCGATCGATCGCCAACGTTGGTGCATACCTCGACGGTCGGACGAAATTTTGCAGTAGGTAATCGGTGAACGTGGGTAACCTCAACCCTCTTCCTCCCCCCCCCCTCCTTATCACCCACCGGGCGAGGCCTGTCGTTGTAGTGCTATGCTCGTAGCGTGTGAGAACCTCGCAGATTCGAAAGAGAAATGTCAAACTCTGTCTTGTACAAACATTCCATGCCTGAAACGGGGGGGTGAGGTTTCGATCGGTGTAGGATGAGGAGGCGGAGGAGGAGGTGCCGCAATCTCACGTGGGCGGTGGGGGAGGAGGGGGGTTGGCATCGTTTCTCGGCAGTAAGGAGGGAGGGCGGTCGGTGTGGCGGACGTACGGAGATGTTGATATTCATGATCGTGTGTAGAAGTAAGTGCGTGCCATGCTACGAAGTTACAGCAGCCATTTACAAAGTCGTGTACCCGCCACCACTGTAAGAATGATGCTCTCTCTCCCGATTATGTGGTGGCTAGAGCTCTCCCATGGAAGTTTTGACTGTTGATTTTTGTAAGCAAATACTTACCGTATCAACAGGAGTGGTGGTGCAGATTGTAACGTTATAATGATGCTTTGATGACGTGCCATCGCGGGACTTTTTCACGGTGCGCTGTTGATCTGGACGAATTCTAGAACGTTTGGGAATCGTGAGCTGTCATTTGGGCCCAGCAGAGATGCCAACCACTACCATTTATCCGTATTTTATACGAATTTCTATTCCTTTTGCACCACTACGATTGATACTACTCCTTTTTTTTCAATTATTGTCATTTTTTGTCAATTTATTGTCATTTTGTCAAATGCAGGAAATTTCATCTCAGAATCAAAAATTTTTCCGGGGGGCATGCCGGACCCCCCTAGCAAACTCGGGTCACTACGTG